AACTGAAATATTTTCTGAACCAATCCCCCAACCCTCCTCCCTTCTTTTGTTGCAGAGTTTGAATTTCAGTTAAAATTCCTTTTTCTATGCAATAGAAGTACAGAAACTCACAGAGAATAGCTACAAGTTCCCCAGATAAGCCATCCATTTCTCATTAACTGGCACTTACAGTCTCAATAGCCCACTCTGAGGGATTTGTAGGGAAAAAAATAAAACTGCTTCATTACTTACAGTTGTGAACAGGTCAATGGCAAGCTAAACAACCAGGCTGCTTTCAACAGACTAAAGAGAGAGAAAGAAACATTCAGCAGAGAGGGGTGTGTGTGTCTCTCTTTGAATTTAGAAGCAAGAGGGATTGATTACTGCTGGATACACAATCACCCTGGCCCAGGAAAGTCCCTCCCAGTCATTCAAACAGTGACTGGGAGGCAGCATGCAAGGCTGTAAAAAACTCCAACACCTTTTCCACCCAGCAGTGGTCTTGTCCCTTTCCTTTTCCCACTGGTCCTGGCATGCTCTGCTGTGGAGTCCCAGACCATAAAAGTTTGGATGTTTGTTATTAGTGTTTATTATATTCATGTTCCAGCTTTCTTTCAAGGAATCCATGGTGACACACATGGTTCCTTGTGAGGTTAGATTCATTGTGTTGTGGGGGGAAGGACAGAGAGGGGAAAAGGGAGAGCCTGAATCCACACCGCACAATTATAAGGGCATGCTCTGCTGTGGAGTCCCAGACCATAAAAGTTTGGATGTTTGTTATTAGTGTTTATTATATTCATGTTCCAGCTTTCTTTCAAGGAATCCATGGTGACACACATGGTTCCTTGTGAGGTTAGATTCATTGTGTTGTGGGGGGAAGGACAGAGAGAGGAAAAGGGAGAGCCTGAATCCACACCACACAATTATAAGAGTATGATGCCGTTTTCAGTTTCATGGTTGTACAGAAGAAACTCCTGGGATTTGTGGTTTGGTGAGGCACTGAGAATTATCTGCTGTTGTTCAGGAGAGTGTGCCAAGCAGGGCTTTCTAGCAGAGAAGTCTCTTTACCTGACTAGACTACAAATCCCAGTATTCTTTAGGAGGAAGCCATGGCAATTAAAGGTATATCAAAATAAACCTGTACTACAGATCCACTCAGAGGAAGAGAATGGTGCTATGCACTAGAAGTACAGAAACTCACAGAGAATAGCTACAAATTTCCCAGTGGACCCAAGGTTAGCTGTTGGGTTTTATGACCCGGTTAACCTTTGAACCTGAGCCTCCCTGCTCCTTGTCCAGCATGCCGTCATGCTGCCCTGATGCTCTACATGCCCTGTGACATTTCTAGGCATAAGAGCATAGGGTGTTAATAAGGGTGTCCTTGAATTTAAACCTTGCCTTGGCCAGAAAATAAGTAGATAAGTTGCTGTTTTAATCTGTGCTTTTCCAATTTGCTGTATCATGGTAATACTTGGAAGGGCTTTGTAGATATTGTTGAAATAATAGATGTGAAGCACCTAAAATGCATTATATAGACATTAAGTTATCCGTATCATAATACATAATTGTCAGCTCATGTGGTACATTACAGTAAAAGCAAATTTAATACAATTTCCTGCTTCGGTATCTTGAGCTACAATTTGAATAAGCATGTTGGGAGTGGAGAGAGATTTAAATGATCTTTTGGATTAACTTTCAGTTTTTTTGTGGGGAAGAGTAAGAGCAAAATATTACTTGCCATTTTTACTTCCAAAATACTATGTATCATTTTTGTGTGTGCGCGTGTTTTGGCTTCTTACTTTTTAAAAATGTTCATAATCTGTCAGGGTGAGGTCTGGAAGAAACAGTTTGAATGTCAAGGAACTGGCCCAACATTTTTGAGCCCCCTTAGAATGAAATGTTTAAACTTGCCATGGTTTTATGAAGAAAGAGGATAGACAGGAGGCTTTAATTGCTGTGAATAAGCTGTAGAAGAGAACTATAAGAGGTAAGAAAAAATAGCTAGGAGAAGGAGAATGTTAAAGGTGGCATAGGTAGAAATCCCATATTCTACTGCCCTATAATTGACCCCCTAAATAGATTATATATTGTTCCTGTATCTTGGCATATTCACCAGCTGGTTTGGGTCTGAGATCAGCGACTATAATGATGAAATGGGCAAGGATTAAAGGAAGGATCTTTTTGTCTGACCCTTTGTGACCTGAAACACTTAAGACTCTAGTTCCTGACATTAGGAGACACTCTATCTGACAAACTGTGCCAACCATTGGAAAATGAACATACAACTACAAATACCAAGATGACAAAATATAGATTTCAGTTATGCCAGTTCAGCTCTTCTGATCAGATGCACAGCAAGCAGTTCTGTGCCCTGAGACTGTTGTTGCCCAGCCCAGTTTGCAGTACCTGTGAATGCTATTTCTTGGCAAAGAAGAAGGTACCCAATCAAATATTATGCATATCACAGTGGATCATGCTCAGTAACATTAATTTTGCCAGCCTAACACAGGTGTATGTAAAAGGGCCTGCTGAATCAAAACCCCTTTCCACTTTCATTTTGAGTAGTGCTTAAATCTTTGTTTGGTTAAACACACTGGGTACAAATCACCTATAGCCTTTAACACCAGCATTTTGTTTTTTTAACCAGGTAATTTTCAGACAGATCAATGAAAACAAAACGATGACAAGTTGTGGTCTACAGTCCTTAAATACGCTGATCGTTGTCTTCTACTTGCTCTTGCCAGCAGGTAAGGGTTGTTTTCTCACTTATTTAGGGGAGGATTGACGTGTTAAATTCTAGAAACGCAGTGGCATGTAGTCTTTTCTTACAGAAACAACAAAGAACCATATGGTACCTTAAATACATTTCTTTGGCATAAACAAATGTGCAAAACATGGGGAATTCAGTATTTTAATATAAAAAAAATTTAGCAACTAAAAAGCCAGTGTGAAATGACTATTGATACCTCTTCACAGGAAGATACCCTGCTGTTTTCTTACGCCAGAAATTCTCAGGCTGTAGGGCTGAGGATTTCCAAAGTGTATTTATTAGTTCTCTCTTTCAAGATAATTTGCAACAAATGAAATGTGGTTTGGCTAAGGGGGAGAAACATTATTTCATAAAGTCTAGTAGCCAGATCTGATTGCCAGAATCCTGTTGAGAATTTATGCTGGCATAAGTGTAGTTGCATGAATTGCAGGGATTGCTTCTGATTAATAAATTGCCACTCACATTCTTTTTCTTACAACTGGCATATGACAAGGAATGTGAGCCATGATTTGTTAATTAATCGCAATTTGCCACCATAGTTTACACAAATACAGAATCCCCAGCAGAATTCTGGCAGTTATTTTAAAGTCTTACAGAATTCCACTAGAACAGAAATATTTTCTTCTGTCCCTTTCCCAGTGGTTTGGAAATTGCTTTACAACAACCCAGTACAGCTTTATGACTGCAGAGCACACAAGGCAATCAGCCAGATAGGCGGGATATTAAATGAATGAATGAATGAATGAATGAATGAATGAATGGATGAATGAATGAATGAATATCTTTTCACTGATACATCATTATTTCAAAGCACTGTCAGCAGTATTGTGACGGAACCATCTCCAGATCTACCTGGCACCATCAGAAAGGAGCTTATTGGATGAGAGAAGGCAGGGGGAGAACCAGTAGAGAAGAAGGAATGGCTTATCTTGTTTTCCCAAGGAGGGAGTTAACAGTGAGAGAGTTAGTTTGTTTTCCAAGGAGGGAGGTTGGGTTTTTAGAGTGGGTTGTAAAAGAGAAATACTTTGTATCAGAAAGAGCAAAGTCTGGTGTGGGAAAGTTGGCATGTATGATGAATGTAACAGTTGCTATATTTCAATAAATAAATTTAAAATAAATTTAAAACCCCTTGGGCTTTTATAATTTGGGCTTAAAGCAAGTCTCGTGAAAGTAAAGGGCACTTTAAGGGGTTTAGCCTGGTTAGGGCTGGTCACAAGTATGTTGTCCACATTTCATACTTCTTCTTCTTCTTACTATATGAGATATTTCCTGCACTGTCTTCTCCTGTCACAATGTCATCCAAAGAAATTTAGAGTTCATTCAAAACAAAATGTTAACCGTGACTATGAGATGCAGCCTTTCTCAATTTGATGCTCTACAAATCTATTAAATTACATGGCCGTGAAGACTGGTGGTAATGGGAATCATAGTCCAGAACATTAAGACAGCATCCATTTGGGGAAAGGTGTGAGTTGAACTTGCAAAATACAAATACAGTACACAGCTTGAGATGCTCTGAATTGTGAGTACCCAATTCAGTGGCTGAGCATCTGTGCAGCAAACCCAGGTAGTGGATCCAGTCCTTTCTACATTTCCAGTTTCCTGGTACATTGAAAAGGAAAACTTTCATTCATTTTTTGTGTGTGCATCACTCTCAAATGATCATGTTGTATGCCTGTTCTCTTGAGTACTCAAGGTTATAAAAATTGTTCCCATTTCTCCCTTTGTGAAACTATTAGGGAACAAACAAAGACAGAGTGTCTATAAAACTATTAGGTTTCATAGAGTGAACTTGTACATGAAAGGTAACGTGTGTACTATCTATCCTTGTAAATAACACAAAGTTGTTCTTCAGAACAAAGGAATGAACATTCCTTGCATCTTGCAATGTTGCAGGAGTTTGGACACAAACAATGTGTTATTATTTACATTATTGAATTGTTATGGTACTGTTTAATTATTGCAATCACGTTTGAAAGTTTGTAAAATGATCATTGAGTTTTTAAAAAATGTAAATTATTTACAGTTTATTTCAAAACAGGTATCCTTGCAATATAACTGTGCTTTCAAAAATATTTCATTTTTCTAAGGATGACATATATGAATCGTCCAGTTGCTTGAATTTATCTCTTGGGGTCTAAATAACTTAACCGCTTTATCCCATTGACTTAAATGGGAAAATTAAATGTATGATTATATCTCTCACATTAAAAATCAGTGGGAGTTCAAAGGGCTTAATTTCATATTGATTGTAACCTAATTCATTATAATGCTTTAGAGTGTAATTTCATTGAGTATAATTTCATTACTCGTACTCATAGAGTATAATTTCATTATAATGATTTAGAGTTTAATTTTGTTGTGTCATAAAATTTAACCAGTGTGCAGCATTCTGAGGAGCATGTTACTCTTCCTCTAAGTTAATGCTGAAAGACTTCAATCTTATGTCCACTTATTATTATTATTATTATTATTATTATTATTA